CGTTTCCCCGGGCTGAGATCTCGGCTCAGCCGGCCGCTGCCCCTGCTTCCCGTTCACACCTGTGCGCTCTGCCCCTGCCTTAGCCCCTGGGTGCGTGGGAGGTGAAATTGTGCGTTTGTTGCGGGGAGGGATTGGGCATCAACTGCTGCAGCTAAGGGCTTGTTAATCCACCTCCCATCAGTGATGTGTTTTCTAAGCCGGAGCCGATGGGGAACTGGAGTATGGTTGGAGCGCCTCCAGATGGACGGGAGGTGGATATCTGGGGTCCAGTGGGGAATCCAGCACAAAAACCAGGAATACCAGGGGAATTGGTTGCTGGAGGCTAATGGTATTTAGATAACTTTGAGCTTCGGGCACGGTCTTGGGAGCCAGGACTCCTGAGTTCTATTCCGGACTCTGGGAGGGGAGTGGGGTCTCGTGGTTAGAGCAAAGGGGCTGGGAGTCAGGCCCCCTGGGATCTATAAGCCCGGATCTGAGAAGAGAGCATGCTCAAAGCCCAAAAGTCAGGACGCCTGGGTTCTATGCCTGCCACTCACTCGCTCTTGAGTGTTGGGCGAGTCACGTCTTTGCTGCGTGCCTCAGTTTCCCCGTCAGTAAAATGGGGCGAAATGTCCTACATCCATCTCCCGGGGAGGCTTCATTCACAAACGTACGTGAAGCGCTGGGAGATTCCCTGATGGCAAGTCCTGCCGAAATGCACCGTGCTGCTCCGACAGCCAGGTATGTAGGAGCCAGACCCCAGCTGGTGTGAACAGGCCTTTGCTCCATTGGCGTCCATACGGATTTTCACCCCCTGGGAATCTGGCCTTTGCCGCACACATCCGACTTTCTTAATACCTTCGGAGGTGAGTGGTAAGAGCCCGGGTTGGCCCATCTGTGCACCCCACCCCCTCGGTTCTCCTGTGCGCCGGCTGTATTCGGGTATGAAGGCTGTTGGGTGACACGCTGGAGCAAGCTGCTCGCCGTGGGGAAAACGTGGCGCCCCGTGGCTGGAATGGATGAGCACAGGTCCACAGCCGCCTCTCCTCTTGTCTCGGTGCAACCAGCGGGGCTCGAAGAGACCACAGAGGGATATCCTTGATTGCAGACTCTCCCCGCTCTGTGGATGCAGC